AATCTATTCTTAGAATACTAAGGTAAAGAGCTAAGAACAGCTCTCAGGAGTGCTTATATATGTTATAGATCTGGTTCTGTAACGATGCTACACGTAACCTTAGCTCTAAGCGAGTAGTCTAGCTTCCTGTATATAAACTTCTCGTCTCTCTGCTCTTCTTCTCTCTTTACCTTATTATTCTAAGTTATAGTAAATCGACCTAAGTTCCGTCCACTTGAGATTGACTCTTGCCCGTGCTATAATATTATAATAAAGTTAAATCACTCCGCGAGGGATCGCATTAGAATATCTCCTCATTTCGACTTGCCTAACAATTAGCACCACTATATTTACTTTAACACGATTGAATCGCCCTTAGGCCGTACGAAGAATCACTTATTATATCCTCGATTATATTGAATTACTCGCAAGCCTCCGACTAGTACGAAGACGTACTAGAAGGCAATAATACTACCCCTCGTGTTCGACTCCCTTAGTCATCTCCTAAATCTAGCGTTAATACTCGAGGACGCTCCAAACACATAGCTAAATCGAGGAAAAGGAAACAACATATTATCGAATCTATCTATAAGAGTATTGAGGACTTGGGGGACGCCGAAGACCCTAAGAGACAAAACTCACGGTTCTCTTCTATAGCACAAACAACTACTCCCAAACGAACCCACTTCGATTCCCGTTTGAGTACTTAAGAAGTAGCCGAGATAAGGGATACTATTCGCCGACTAAAAGCTAGACTAGCCGCGACCGAAGCAATTAATACCCAATCTTCTTTAGGTGGCGATCGCTCGTCACATCGCCTAGCTAGAGTTTGCGATAATCAACGCTTTAACCAAGTTCGACTATATTCGCTCTCCGTCCAAGATAGGAATCCCTTATCGAATCCGGACTCATCCGACCCAGATAGTAAAGGCGATTATAGTCCCTAGAACCGCGGCTTGTTCCTCGCCTAAGGCTGAGGGACGACTTGAACTAAGGACGCTTTAGCTAGACTCTAGGGCTCGACCATAGCTGTCACAGCGCCAGCTGTTACCAATCGCCTGAGCCAATCGCCTGCGACAGAGGCCAGGCCGGGAATGGTGGCGTTCCCGAGCTTTAAGCCTACTAGGGCTTAGCTCCTCACATGACATCCCCTTACTTCTAACATATATATGTATATAGATCTCTCCTCCTCTCCTTTCTTCTCTCCTTAGCTTTAGATTCTAAATGAATAGCCCGACGTTGCGTCGCCACCTCACACCATCGTCACAGTGCTGTTACAATTATTAAAAAAAATTTATTTATATTTTTATATATTTTATAAATTTAAAAAAAAAAATTTTTAATATATATTTA